TTTTGATATTTGCAAGGCAAATTCCTTCATCTTTATTCTTCTTTTAAAAAGAATTCCTGGGCTATTCTATATTATTATTATTGTTATTGTTATTGTTCTTGTTTGAGATGGAGTCTTGCTCTATCGGCCAGTCTGGAGCACAGTGGCGTGATCTCAGCTCACTGCAGCCTTCACCTCCTGGGTTCAAGTGATTTGCTGGCCTCAGGTGATCTGCCCTCCTTGGCCTCCCAAAGTGCTGGGATTACAGGCATGAGCCACCACACCTGGCCTATTCTACATTTTTTAAAGATTAATTCTAAAATCATTTTGCCCAGTAAAAGAAAATCTCAGAATTTTTATTGGAATTGGATTCACTTAAAGGTTATTTTAAATGGGAAGAATCGATGCTTCAGATTTTGAATTTTGTCATCCTAGAAGAGGAAGCATATTTTTCCAAAGCAGTAAGATTGAAACTGAGTCAGTTTCTTTGTGGCACATTTAGGATCCGTGAGGCAAAAATAGGTAGAAATATTACAATGTAAGTATTAACAGCACCAGAGGAAGAAAAGAATGCATTGTGGAAGAAAAAAGGAGAATAGATTTCAGAGAATTATAAAATGGTAGCGATTGATTGGTGTAGGCATTCTGCTAACCAGCTCTCCAGCTAAGACTGGGCCACCTTACAAAGCAGCATGTTCTGTTGGTAAATGGCTCTTATTTTTAAGAATGTCTTTATATGGAGCCAGAATGCATACCTGTGTGATTTTGCCATTGCCTTCCAACTCCAGAAAGAAAACTAACTTTGCCTTCTCTAGTACATGAGCACCCTGGAGATACTAAGACTCTTATTCTGACTAAATGTCCTTCAAGAGCAGCCTCCAGAGTTTTCTGCATTCTTGCTACCTTGTTAACTTGCAGTGCATTACAGTTTACCATTGGCTGTCCTGAAATGCCCTCTTAGAACAAAGATAATACAATTTGAAATCATGGGTAGAAATAAAGAAGGTGGAAGCAGCAGCTAGGTTTCCAAAGCAGCAGAATGTCAGATACCTTCTGAAGCAGCCAGTTTCCCCCATTCCCCACCCAACCCCATGTGGGGCTCACATTCTGTTTTTCTCTCTTTGTCCTTTGTTTAAATTCCCAAGTATTGTGCATCAGCAAGTTGACTTTATCTGTTAATGTTCTTTCAGCCTTGTAATGGTAACAATATAAATTGAAAAACACTAAATTAGAAAAATCAGGCATTCATACCTCCAGAATAAAATGTAGTTTCACTTAGAGTTGAGAAAACATCTACTAGACTCTTAGGAGCAACTAGGAAATGACTGTGGAAGTTACTATGGTAGACCCTGGAGAAGGTGTTTTCCTGCGGAAGTGCACCTTCCACTGTCCAGTTACGTCACTCTCCACCTACTTCACCTCCTTGACGGGAGTGCAAAATATTTGGTTGGGTGGGGGATTGCAAAATATTTGATTGGGTGTGGGGGGGATCGGAGAGATACTGATCAAAAGGTGCAAAGTTTCAGTTAGGAGTAAGTTCAAGAACTCCATTATACAGCATGGTGACTACAGTTCATAACAATGCATAGTATTCTTGAAAGATGCCCAAAGAGTAGATTTTAAATGTTCTCACTTTGAATAAATATGTCAGGTAATGCACATGAATTAGTGTGATTTAGCCATTCTACAATGTATACATGTTTCAGAACATCATGTTGTATACCATAAATATATGCAGTTTTTGTCAATTTAAACAGTAAATACACATTTTATATTTATAAAGCAAGAGGAAACATTTTGAGATTACTTATGTTATTTCACCATTTAATAGAAACTTTAGGCTGGACATGGTGGCACACAACTGTAATCCTAGCACTTTTGGAGGTGGGGTGGTGGGGAGCAGATTACATCGCATGAGGCCAGCCTGGGGAACGTACAGAAACCCTGTCTCTACAAAACATTAGCAGGGCATAGAATAGTGGCATGTGCCTGTAGTCCCAGCTGTCTGGGAAGCTGAGGTAGGAGGATCACTTGAACCCAGCAGGTCAAGGATGCAGTGAGCCATGGCCGTGATCATGTCACTGCACTCCAGCCTGGGTGAGAGAGTGAGACCCTGTCTCAAAAGAGAAACTTTAAATTGGCAAAATAAAAAGTAGTGGGTTCTACTGCTATCTTTAAGGAAGTATTCTATTCTAAGAGCCTTTTGTGTGGAGTGATTTTTGTATACCTAGTAATAGCAACTGTCTGGATTTCAGTACCAGCTCCTCCTCTTCCTTGCCATCTATACACCAGGGCTGGTGACGTGTTAATCTCTACCTCTTAGGGTCAATATAAATACTGGCTATTTTCATTGGTGGCAGCGTCACCATCACCTTAGCTACTTGTTCAACTTTTGGGAACATCTTCTGGTACCACCATCTCTGACTGTCTTTAAAGACTGATCTTCTGATGAGATTAATGTTGGCTAGGCTAATGCTAGAAAACTCCTCATATGACAAAGATGTTTACCAATTTTTCTTGTTGACTATCAATGGGTTATCAGTTTTCCATATATGTCTTATTTAAAATTTTCTGTTAGCCAGGCATGGTGGCTCATGCCTCTAATCCTGCATGTAATGGTAGACCCTGGAGAAGGTGTTTTCTCCACTTTGGGAGGCTGAGGTGGGTGGATCACCTGAGGTCAGGAGTTCGAGACTAGCCTGGCCAACATGGTGAAACCTCATCTCTACTAAAAATGCAAAAGATCACTGAGTGTGGTGGTGGGCGCCTGTAATCCTAGCTACCCAGGAGGCTGAGGCAGGAGAATTGCTTGAACCTGGGAGGTGGAGGTTGCAGTGAGCCGAGATGGCGCCATTGCACTCCAGCCTGGGCAACAGAGTGAGACCCCATCTCAAAAAAAAGAAAAAAAGTTTTCTGTTTACCATCTTGAATTGTCTCCAAGTGAGTAACTGTGTTTGTGTAGTTGAAGCTCGGAATATGCTGCCCTCTTCTCCTGATGGAGTAGCTTGTGTCGTTCTCTTGCAGAAGCCGGCAGGAGTGACTCTCGGCACGGAGGACCCATCTCCTAGCGCACGTACCCACTGAAGTGGCGCCGGCAGAAGTTTGGCTTGAACTAAAGGACATTTTATTTTTTTTACTTTAGCACATAATTTGTATATTTGAAGATAATGTATATTATTTTACCTATTAGATTCTGATTTGATATACAAAGGACTAAGATATTTTCTTCTTAAAGAGACTTTTCGATTAGTCCTCATATATTTATCTACTAAAATTTACTATGAACAGTGTGTTGCTTCAGACTTACAAAGACAACTGGGGCAAGTACTCTAATGTAAAGGACAGGTGGTGTTTCTGTATAACAGACTGGCTGCTATGGTACTGTAAAAAACTGGTTAATTCTATTTTTCAAAGTTTTGGCTAAGCACATCAATTTTAGACTAGTTGAAGTGGAACTGTATAATTCAATTCGGTAATCGATCACATGGGCTTTCCCTGGAGGAAAGGTTTGGTTTTTGTTTTTTTTTTTTTTTAAGAACTTGAAACTTGTAACTGAGATGTCTATAGCTTTTTTGCCCATCTGTGTTGTATGTGGAGATTTCAAAACCTGAGAGCACTTTTTCTTTGTTTAGAATTAGGAGAAAGTCACTAGATGACTTTAGGATTTGCATTTTTCCCTTTATTGCCTCATTTCTTGTGATGCCTTGATGGGGAGGGAAATCTGTTTATTTTTTCCTACAAATAAAAACCTAAGATTCTATATTGCACATGAGCATTAAGTTCTTCATTGCCTTGTTAAGGAAAATGAGTAGGCAGACTGAGAATCTGTTATATTGATTTCAGTTACAATTTAATCTTTACAATTAAAAGGACGAAAGATGTATTTTAATTTTTATTATTGACTCGAAATAACCAGTTTTCTTGATTAGAGTTTAAGCAGATTTTTTTTTTTTTTTTTTTTGAGACGGAGTCTTGCTTTGTCGCCCAGGCTGGAGTGCAGTGGCCGGATCTCAGCTCACTGCAAGCTCCGCCTCCCGGGTTTACGCCATTCTCCTGCCTCAGCCTCCCGAGTAGCTGGGACTACAGGCGCCGCCACCTCGCCCGGCTAGTTTTTTGTATTTTTAGTAGAGAGGGGTTTCACCATGTTAGCCAGGATGGTCTCGATCTCCTGACCTTGTGATCCGTTCGTCTCGGCCTCCCAAAGTGCTGGGATTACAGGCTTGAGCCACCGCGCCCGGCCCAGAGTTTAAGCAGATTTAATACCATGACCTTGGTAACCATTTCTTCTTTTTTACTTGCTTGCTGTTCTTTGGGGTCAAAGGAGCAGGCTAATGCGAAGCTTTTGGAGACCGCTAAGTGTTAGAAAGTGATTAAACGCACACTCTGCTGTTCTCACTTCCTGGAGGTAGAAGTCAGGAATATGAGGCAGTTATTTTTTAGAGTGTGGAATTGTAGTCCTGTGTTGCTTCTAGTTACTCTATATCTTTAGTTGGTAGGTAAAAAATGTTTATTTAAAACAATTTTTAAAATTATAAATTTATTTTTATAGCCATATGTAGGGTATAAAGATTTATATGATTTTCTCAAGCTACTTAATACTTTGATTCGTGAAATGGTAAGTAAACAGTTTTACTGAAATAAACTCTACAGATAGATGCAATATGAGGAGTTATTGAAGCAGAAAATGTGTTTTGCTTTGCACACTGAGTGTGTTAGCAGACAGCCTCAAGTAGGTTTCCATAACAGCCACTGCCTTTGAATCTACCTTCTGTAGCTTAATATGTATAGGAAAATGTATCCTGATTCTGTAGCAAGTAGATTGTTTGCTCTTTGTCTTTTAAGAAATACTAGGGGAGGGCTGGGTGCGGTGGCTCATGCCTATAATCCCAGCACGTTGGGAGGCTGAGGCAGGTGGATCACGAGGTCAGGAGATCGAGACCATCCTGGCTAACATGGTGAAACCCCATCTCCATTAAAAATACGAAAAATTAGCTGAACGTGGTGGCACACATCTGTAGTCCCAGCTACTCAGGAGGCCGAGGCAGGAGAATCGCTTGAACCCAGGAGGCTGACATTACACCACTGCACTCCAGCCTGGGCAACAAGAGCAAAGCTCCGTCTCAAAAAAAAGAAAAGAAATACTAGGGAAAAATGTTTTAACTAGTCATTCTTCCGAGTAGCTAACGAAGCTGACTTTTGAAAAGAAGGCTGTGAGCTTTGCAGATGCTGCTACCGCCTGGAGCCCCTTGCATCCAGCCATGGTCAACCCCATGTTTTTCAACATTGTCGTCGATGGCAAGCCCTTGGGCTGTGTCTCCTTTGAGGTAAGGGGCCTAGAAACCAAGAAGTGACTGTTCACCTAATCCATAAAACTATGTTAGCAGATTGGAGCTGTTTGCAGTTCCAAAGACAGCAGAAAACCTCCGTGCTCTGAGCACTGGAAAGAAGGGATTTGGTTATACGGGTTCCTGCTTTCACAGAATTCTTCCAGGGTTTGTGTGTCAGAGTGGTGGCTTCACACGCCATACAGCATTGGTGGCAAGTCCGTCTGCAGGGAGACATTGGATGACAAGAACTTCATCCTGAAGCATACAGGTCCTGGCCTCTTGTCCATGGCAAATGCTGAACCCAGCACGAACGTTTCCCAGTTTTTTATCTGCACTGCCAAGACGGCCAAAGCTGAGTGGTTGGATGGCCAAACGTGTGGTCTTTGGCAAGGTGAAAGATGGCATGAATACTGTGAAGGTCATGGCGCACTTTGGGTCCAGGAATGGCAAGAGCAGCAATTTGCATGAAGATCACCATTGCTAACTGTGGATAACTGTAATAAATTTGACTGGTGTTTCTTTTAAAAAAAAAAAAAAAAAAATACCGTGCCAGACCAAGGTAAATTGTTTTTGATCATTACAGAAGTGTGATTTCTTAATCAGCAGCTGTCAAACATAGTGTTCCTTAAAAGCTTGAACACTAAATTATAAATTGGAGAGGTTGGAATAATTATGGTCATATATTTAGAAACACAAATCTTTAGTAGCAAAAAAGAAATTAGCAAGAGAAGAAAACTATTCGGTACTTTGAATGGAAAAAGTTTTCATTGATAGAAGTTTAGATGAAAACATGAGAAAGAAGTGACAGGCCAAGTGTGGTGGTTCACGCTTTTAACACCAACAATTTGGGAGGCCAAGATGGGAGGATCTCTTGAGCCCGGGAATTCAAGACTAGCCTGGGCAACAAGGCAAAACTCATCTCTACTGAAAATTTAAAAAATCAGCTGGGCATGGTGGCACCCGTCTGTAGTTCCAGCTACTTGGGAAGCTGAGGTGGGAGGATCACTTGAGCCCAGGAGGTTGAGGCTGCAGTGAGCTGTGATCACACCACTGTATTCCAGCCTGGGCAAGAGTGAAATCCTGTTTGGGGGGTGGGGGCGGGGGGCGGGGAACCAGGAAGGGACAGATATGAGAGTTTTTGCTAAAGCTTTTAAGTTAAGATGCAGAGAATTGGGGGAATGTATAATAAATCAGATTTCATTTAGTTACATTATTTACCACATGAATCACTTTCCTCCAAACAGTTGTCGTAAGAGCTATGTGTTCACGTGTAATGAAGACCAGTATTTAACTGTGGGAACCGTGGGTGGCGTGGCGAAGGAGACAGTGTCCGTGACTGTGCCGCTCTCCGCAGCCCCGTCTGCTGTCCTGTTTCCTCGGCGGCTCGGTGTCTGGACTGGCGTTCCGGGTGTCCCAGCGGAAAACTAAAGGGCCAGAGAGGTGTAAACACACACACCACTTGGCAGGTAATTTCCCCATGTGCTATCTTTTTAGGGATCCCGAACACACAGCCTTTCCCAAAAGACTGCTCCCTCCAGCTACTGAGGAATGATGACAAGAAAAGGCCGAATTGCAGTGTCTCCATCAGCAGTTTGCTCTCTCTGGGCACACAATGACAAAATTTCCTGAAGCGAACCACTAGTCTGACCTCAGTAGCAGGATTGGAAGCTTCATGCCATGGGAGTGGTCAAGAAAGGCATCCCAAAGAGAACTGAACTATTAAAAAAAAAAAAAAATAGACCTTTAGGAATAGGTGATTGTCCCATATACTGGGGATGAAATACCCAGTGTAACCAAATTCCCCAGTAAGATCGCTTAGTTTGGCAATAGTCTCTTTTGAGCACGCTGAAGTTTATTTGCTCAATGAAGGCTGAAATTATAAGTCAGTATATATGTATTACTAAGTAGAACTTGAGGTAATTATGTTTTAGTCAAAAGCAGTTTCTGTGGGCTTAGTATAAACCCTACTTTGTGATTTGCTAAAGCACAGGATGTTGACTCAAACCAAAACTAGTTTTGTAGTTAATATATGTTGTGTTTCTGTGACTTAATAGTCAACTAGAAAAGCCACCTACGACATTCCCAGCTAATTAAGTTTTAAAATTTTTTTAAAAAATACTTGTCACCATATTTTCAGAAATGCTAACATTTGGATTACTAGTTATAAAAGTGAAATTTCTACTGTGTCATAATCAGCCACACAGCTGGAGACTTGCCCTCTTTGTACAGCAAAGTTGTGAAAAAAGTATTTGCACTACATTCATTTAAACATTAGGGAAAAAAAACCAACCCATGCTTTTCTTTGCTGAGTTGTAGGGTTGTATTATTGGCTAGTGAGAAGCCTGGGAACACCAGGACTGTGTGTGGGTGACTACAGGTATCAGATCCAGGATTATACACGTACTCTTGGAAGTGTCTTGGGGATTTTCCTGGTAAGAACAACAGTGATTGCAAAAAAAAAAAGACAAGATGTAAAGTGAAATCAGTAAAACATCTTAGTAGACAGAGGGTGCTGACATTTTAACAAATGTGTAAAAAGTTCTTCCTATACATTAATTTTCCAGATACCCTTAAAATGTTTAAGGAATATCATTCAAAATACTGTTTGAGAGACATGTGACCATCATTCTCCAAGGGAAATGTGGATCATTTAGTGTGCTACTTAAAATTAGGTGCAAATGTATATGTACACTGTAAGAATAAAAATCGATACCATTTCTTTAAAGCTATCTAAAAGTTAATTATTTCTAATAGTTACATTTTAGGATCTCAAACTATTTTTCTTTTGAAATAACTGCTTTCTACCCTAAGGTGTTACTTATTGCTGTCTTCTTTTTAACAGGTGAAGATATTAAAGCTAGAAATTGGAACTAGAAAATCTAAAGAATTCAAGGCATCTTAACGTGACAGTTAACTCATTTGATTACAAAGTTCATTGCAGTTATTGAATCTTTTTTGAGTGCGGTGGTGCCATTGATGCTTACTGCAGCCTCAATCTCCCAGGCTCAAGAAATCTTCCCACCTCAGCTTCCAGAGTAGCTGGGACTACAGGTGCATGCCACGCCTTGTTATTTTATATTTTTTCAATATAAACGAGGTCTTGCGATGTCATCCAGTCTGGTCTTGAACTCCAGTGATCCTCCCACCTTAGCCTCCCAAAGTGCTGGAATTACAGGCGTGAGCCACCAAACCCAGCCACCAATTTTACTTTAGGTAAACTTTTATTTTCAAGCAGCTTTTGTTGGTGTTGCAAGTACAAATCATGACTGTAAATATAACCACTATTCTTTGTAAGCCATTTAAAATTTTAGTCTTTCAAGTAAACACCAATATTGTGGTTTTGATCCTCACTTACGAAGTCCCTATTTGAGAACCTCCCTACTAGAATTTATTCGTAACCCCAAAATCACCACATGCAGTCATTTTCAGACATGCAGAGAGCAGTGAATGAGCCAAGCTGCCTGACATGCACGTTTCTGATGGAGGCTGGAGGGGATGCCATGCCTTGTTTCCTCTCCCACTACAAACAGGTGTCCTTTCACAGTCTCTTCAGTACCATGTTCTTTGCATTTCTGCACTTTTTGTTGGCAATTTCACTATTTAAAATGGCCCCCAGGTATAGCAAAATATTGTCTACTGCTTTAAAGGCAACAAGGCTGTGATGTGCCTCATGAACTCAGTGTCTGTTACATCAGCTTCACTCAGGCATGAGTGATTGTGGTGTTGGCTGTGAGTTCAATGTTTTTTTATGCCAGAGAATCTGTAGGTCCTGTAGGTCCTGGAACCTAAGGCTGGGTTGTTGAAACTGCCACTCCAAAAGTACTTCAGTAATAAGCTCTTCTTTTCCCAGTGCTAACGGGGACGCTCACTTTTAGGCGTAGAAAGAAATCACTTGTTGCCATTGTTTTAATTGTCTGAAGGCATTCCTCTGATAGATGGGCTTAGTTCATTATTTCCTCTAAGCAAACGTTCTTAAACATTTCTCTTATAGTGAAAAACTAAGAATTTGTTACAAATCTTTGGTAGTGCTTTCTCCAGAGTTTTAAGATTGGAACTTTTACTTACCTTAAAATCACTTGGCTTGGTTTCCTTTAACTTTTTCAAAGTGTTAGAGAGTAATTCCTGTTGAACAGATTATCTCCCTTGTAAATACACTTTGAAAATACCTCAGTAAAAGGAATTTCTCATGATTTCTTAAAATATATATCAGATAACAGCTGATAAAAAGAACTTTAATGGAAGGCACTGTTGTCCAAAAATCACATAAAGGGTAACAGCCCACATGGTACCACCCTGCTCGCCTACTTCTCAAACTCAATCCACCACCCAGACAGGAGGGTGCAGACCCCACAGGAAATTACCTCCCAGAGCACTGACTGACGTTTTTCCTTAAAACAAAAAAATAGCTGTCTCAGACTAATAACAGAACATCTTAAGAGAAAAAAAAAAACAAAAAACTATACCAGCTATTACAGCCTGGTAATAGAAGCAGCTTTCTAAGCGTTCCCAAGTTTATAAGAGGCCCAAGAAATGCATTTATTCTGTTGTCTATTAAGCCTCCACGACAAGGAGAAAGTTACAAGTAAATCCTTGGTTCATGAGGAGTTAAGAGCTTTGTGCATAAGCGGTTCAAGAACCAAACTCCTGTTTGCCTCTTGATGGTTCAGAAACATTCAGCTGCTTTCACCTCTAGGACAGTATCACAAATGTTTAAGAATTTACTCTCATTATCAACATTGGAACTTTACGAAAACTGGATTCCTGTTTCATCAGAAGCCTGTATTAATGAAAAACACATTTTGTTCTTTAGTGCTTAAAAAAAAACTCATCTATTTTTTTGGGATAGCCATTCCTCCTATGGACAGTCATCAGCAAGACACCTAAAAGACACGTTTTCCCCAGTTCTTATCAAAAATTCATCTCACGGAAAAAGTCATCCAAGAAAGCAAAACTTTGCTTTAAGTAGATAAAGTACTGTTTATATGCATTAGACCAAGCAATCCACTCAGGGTGTTTAACGGTGTAGAAACTAAATCACAGCTGAACAGTGAATGGATGGGATGGTTCTGATGAGGTATTATTTTGACATTTTGGTCTCAGAAGGTGTTTCCCCAGTATCCAATGTCTTCAACAACCGGAAAAGACCAGCAGCTTCTCGTATCCTACTGAATTCAATACAGAATGCCTGCACTTCTATAAACAAATCCTGTACATTAATAATTTTGTTACGGATCAAGGATTGGAGAAACACACACACAAGACGCACCAACCGATTCTGAAAAAGGGGGAAAAAAATAAATGTTAGTGTGCTCATTTTCCTGGCAGGCAATTATAAAATTTACAGAAATTTCTATTACCTGCATATATTTATCCTTAATTTGTTCACAAGTAGAGATGCAATTTGATATATAAAGGTGAATAAATTCAGGAGGTAGATCAACAGCTGTAGTTAGTCTGTTTCATAAAACAAAATTTGGGCCATTAATTTCATTTGCTAACACTGAAAAACACTTAACCGTAAAATACAAAACTTGCTTCGGTCATCTGGTGGAATTTTCTGACATACCCAGTTCCCTAGTTTTAAATATACTTGGGCAAGTAAACCTAAGAGCCACACCTACTTACTCATAAATAACACTTTTTAAAAAATGTCTCCACTTACTGTACATACCGCAATTATTTTTTTGAGCCCTGTCCCTGAGTATTCTTGGTTAAATCATCAGTCATGGTCTGTTATTGGAATTTAGAGTCATAATAAAGGCCAAAGCCAGTATTTTCCAAAGGATTACATGGAATGTTTTAAGGAGAAAAACGAATGGGGTGGGAACGGGAATTCCATACTCAAAGTATGAATTTCCAAAAGATGATTAATATATGCTACCTTTTCTAAACTTACCAGACCTCAAAACTTTATTCAATAAGGCATGAGCAGGCAGTGCTCCAAGGACACTGTCATGAGCTGCTGCAGTCACTTGAGATTTGTGTGTCACCAACAAACGTATTTTCACACTTAAGGATGATGCACTATGATAGGTGTTGGGGGAAAAACAAGCAGGACCCTGTCCTTGAATTCCAAGATACTGAGCAGATAGAATCGCACTGACAAAAAGATGTAGTGATTCTGCATCTTGGACTCAGGGCCAAATGTCTGGTAGAGACAAGAACTGCTATAAGAATATGGTGAAGGAGAAGTGAACACTCAGCGTGGTCAATCCACGCTGTGCAGGCAAACCTGCACAGAACTGGGCCACTGAAAAGAGAGTCTTCACTCAGTAGGGGAAAGACTGGAACAAGGAGTGGGAGAAATGGAGCAACACGTTTTCAACAAGCAGCTGGCTAGTTTTGCCGGTGACCAAGATTAAAGTTAAAAATTAATCTGGAAACCTCACGCTTCCTCCCTCTCCTGCCCCTAAAAGAATGCACTCTCCTTCTATGCACATCCACTCCCTCGGCTTCCAGCTGGGCTTTTTTCCCCCAAAAGTGGATGAAAAAAGGGCACATTCTGTAGTTCAATTTCACATAGATTTTTCAAAAAGCCCCAACTTGCAAACAGGTGTTAAAAACTATGCTGTCACTGAAGTTTAGTCTCTTGGCACTCAGAATGGATTTCCCCATATAGGAGGACCGTATAATTTATCATCCAAAGCAGGATACCACGTGAAAGGGAGCTCAGGATGCAAAGCCTCTGCCAGGACTCAGGCACACCTGAACCTCTGGCCATCTTGCACATAAACAACTGAAGCCCTCCAGCCCATTTAATTCAGTTTACCTAAAAGATATTTGTAAGGAAAATACTATAAAATGCAAACACTGTACAGCACACATCAAGAAGGGAAGATACTCTGTTTTCCTGACAGTCAAGGATGGCAGGGTCAGGAGACAGGGGGGTCAGAAAGGCTGGGAGAAGAGCACGAGGAAGCTAGGACGGCATTCCTAGGATTCTCAGCTCTTAAGGTCCATATTTTTCCACACTTACAGCTGTTAGTCACTAAGAAAAAAATATCTGTATTTGTATAGGGATAAAGAAGATAGGACTATGTACAGGGAAATGAATTTCAGTAATTGGCTGGCACAGTGGCCCACGCCTGTAATCCTTGCACTTTGGGAAGCTGAGGTGGGCAGATCACTTGAGGTCAGGAGTTTGAAACCAGCCTGACCAACATGGCAAAACCCCGTCTCTACTAAAAGTACAAAAATTAGCCGGGTGTGGTAGCACACACACCTGTAATCCCAGCTACCAGGGAGGCTAAGGCAGGAGAATTGCTGGAACCCAGGGGGTGGACGTTGTGGTGAGCTGAGACTGCACCACTGTACTCTAGCCTGGACGACAGAGTGAGACTCCCTCTCAAAAAGATAAATAAAATAAAATTTCAGCAATTTCCCCGTCTCTACTAAAAATACAAAAAACTAGCCGGGCGAGGTGGCGGGCGCCTGTAGTCCCAGCTACTCCGGAGGCTGAGGCAGGAGAATGGCGAGAACCCAGGAGGCGGAGCTTGCAGTGAGCTGAGATCCGGCCACTGCACTCCAGTCCGGGCTACAGAGCAAGACTCCGTCTCAAAAAAAAAAAAAAAAAAATTTTTCAGCAATTTTCATTTATGCTTCTACTAACACTAATTATGTTTGAAATCTTACCCTCAGTTCTTATTAACGCATGCTAAATTCACATGTAGTGAATGCTAAGGCTTAGATTATTTCTTTAATAGTTAATCTTACGCCAATAATATCAAGACAAAAATCTGTTACAATTTTTCCTTCCTGGCCATCTAATCTGTATCTATCCCCACACATTTGATCAAATCTAGAAACTTACCGATTTACGACTTCCATTGAATGTAAAGACATGTCCATATTGACCAGGACAGAGAAATACTCAGTGATCTGGCTTGACTGCATTAATTTCAGCAACATTTCGATAGCGACTAAAGGGTTGTTTTCCACAAGGTCAGGAAGTTTGGCTGGGGTGAGGCCAATATGGTAGACAAGTTTGGGGTCTTTTTCCAACTCACCAAGGAGCTAAATACACCAGATTTTTAAAGAGATAGAGAGAGGGAGAGAAAAAGAGGGTCTTGAGTCGATTTTTTTCCCATGTATATGAAATAAGCATTTTATACAAAAAGCTACAAAACTATCTGCATTGAACCAACTTCCTAAATTTCTTCCTTCAAACCCATGATGTCTTGACATTTCTAAATTTACATTTTAATTTTGAACGAACTAAAACGCAAACACATCTAAGACAGTTTGTAAGTATGCTAGTGATTCCTCTTCCTGGACATCCAGCCAGACTCCATACTGTCCGGTCAGATACAACACTGTCTGGTTGTAACAGTGTCAAGCCCTTTGCAGGGGT